CCGCCTGCACCAGCTCCCTCTCCCGAGACTGCCTGGGCGCCCCGACGTTCTCCTGGCGCTCTGCAGGATCTGCAGGACGGCCCAGGGAGGCCACCGAGGCCGTCAAGATGGCCCAAGGCTGCATCGAGTTGCAGCCCGACGCCTCCAGGGAGGGCCCCGAGAGGCGCCACCAGGGGCCCCCAAGGGGCCGTGCAAGAAGGCCAGCATCGGTCCACAACCTTCAGGGACCCGAGGTTTTGAACGTACAGTCGAGGCGTTGACCTAAGGAACCCTACATAGGGAACGAGGCCCCTTTTTCCCATGAGTTCAACCTCGATCTCCCATGGAAACCCCAGGAAAACCCGAGGCAAGCTTCGAAACAATCAAGGACCCCCCCAGCCCCTCCCCAACGAAAAGGGTTCCTTCTTCAGCGCCCCGACTGTATGAAGTCCTGGGCCTCTCGGTGCAAGATGGCTCCAAGAGGGCCTCAGAGCCAGAGGAAGGCCCAAAGCGACCCCAAGGAGGGCCTCCAGCAGCTCCCCACACGGCACGGGGCAGCCCCCAGAGGGCCCCAGGACGTCTTGGGGGCCCAGACCAGCGCAAGAGAACACAAAGATGCCCCGCGAGGGCCCCCCAAGAGCCCAAATCAGCCACAGGACGGGCCCACGTAGCGCCCTCCAAATATTGGAGTTAAGTCGGGCGTGTCCCCCTACAGGGGGATTTTGGGCGAAAAAAAAAACCCAAACATACCCCCAAATTGTCAAAAAGTGCAACAAATAGCCACCAGACTATGTTTGGACTATTGTTTGATTATTTCTGGGGTATTTTTTATTTTTCGTCGGAAATCCCCCTGTAGGGGGACAGGCCCGACTTAAGATTAGAGTCAAGAGGTGTCACATGTGGCTGACTTCTGGGAGGTGCCCGAAGCGTCGCCACGCAGAGAGAACTGCGCTGGCACAAATGGCGAGACTCGCCGCAGGCAGCTGGTGCACTGTTTACGATGACGCCTGCGCCACTCTACAATCGAGAGGGGATTGCGAAGAGTAGCCAGCCTGACCAATGTTCGCCCCGATGAAGACCGAGAAGAAGAACGCCCCGATGCCGCCGACTGCACCTGGGGGATGGCAGAACATAGATCCAGATCGGAACAACCGTTCGCCGACCTCACGGGGTACCCTTGGAACAACACGGCACTCAGAAGACCAGGAGCAACAAGCCTGGATCCGACTCCGACCCAACCAGCCAACCGCAGCAGCCAAAGCCGAGCTCGGGGCTTCGGGCCTGGCCAGGGCCTGCTCGGATGTTCGTGGGCCTCCTCGGCCGGCTGGGTGGCCCGAGCGGGCCACGGGTGCTCGTGGACCCCCCCCCCTTGGCCATTCGGCAGCAGGAGGGGAGCCTGGATGGGGACTCACGGGGCGGGGTGTGGAGTTGGCATGGAGCGCTGGAGGAAGGGGGTCCTGGACCCCGGGACCTGTGCCCAAAGACAACTTGCCGAACAACTTCCTGACCGTTTCGCGGCCCGCGGAGGGCCCCACGGAGCCCCAAAATGGGGAGCAACTGGTGAACAACTTCGGCAGAGCAACCAGCAACGGCATAGGCACAGACTCTCGGAGCTCTGCGCGGATTGCTTGGATCGGCGCTGGGGCGCCCTGGCGGCGCCTCGGGCGCCGCCCCAGCGCCGATCCAAGAGATCCGCGCGGAGCTCACAACACTTGTATGTGCATTGTTTCTGCTGTGGCGCTCTGGGCCCCAGAAGCTGCACGGCATTTTTTTCTCGCTTCCAAGAGACTGTCTCTGGAACATGAAAGCGGCAATGCCCCAAATAACGAATAACAGCCTGCTCCGGGATTGGAGCCAGAAATGGAGACGTGGAAAAGCGGGGACGGAACTAAGATTAGGTCAGGCCTGTCCCCCTACAGTGTGATTTTGGACGAAAACAAGTGGCACGTGTGCCATGGCTCTTGCACGAAAAGGAAGGGGGAGGAGGAGGAGGTGGAGGAGGAGGGGGGGAAGAGGGGGCAAGACATCGCCCCTCGGGGCCCAGCAACGGGGCGCAAATCCCAGGTGGGGAGGGGGGGAGGTGGCGCGCGTCGCGACGCGGAAAAAAGTGCACGGAGCGGAGGGGGCACGGGGCGGAGGTCCCACTGGGGCGCTGGGGGTGCGGAGAGGAGGAGGGGGGGAGGTGGCGTGCGTCGCGACGCGGAGTATCTAAATGGTCGGGGCGGAGGGGACACTGGGCGGGAGCTTGGGCAAAGGGCCACGGGGCGGGGGTCCAACTGGGGCGCTGGGGGCGGGGGGGGGAGGGGGGGAGTGGTGTGCGTCGCGACGCGGAATAAAATTTATCGGGGCGGTCGCCACGCGGAATAAAGCGTTCGTGGCGGAGGGGGGCAGTGGGCGGGGTTCCCGATGGGGCGCTGGGGATGCGGGGGGGCTCGGGGCAGAGAGCCACGGCGGGGGTCCCACTCTGGCGCTGGGAGACGCGGGGGGGGGTGCGACGCGGAATAAAGCGTTTCGTGGCGGAGGGGGCAGTGGGCGGGGTTCCGCTGGGGCGCGGGGATGCGGGGGGGCTCGGGGGCAGAGAGCCACGGCGCGGGGGTCCCACTCTGGCGCTGGAGACGCGGGGGGGGGGTGCGACGCGGAATAAAGCGTTCGTGGCGGAGAGGGCAGTGGGCGGGGCCCCCGCTGGGGCGCTGGGGGCGCGGGGGGGCTCGGGGCAGAGAGCCACGGCGCGGGGGTCCCACTCTGGCGCTGGGGACTCGGGGGGGGGGCGACGCGGAATAAAGTGGTCGGAGCTCTAGACACCCTGTGTAAGAGAATAAACAATAGTCAAAAAATACCCTCCAATGTTGGTCAAAAAATCGTCCCCTGACTATTTTTGACAATTTTTGAATATTCCTCCTGTAGAGGGACAGGCCTGACTTACAACTAAAAACAAAAACGGCGCCAAGACCGGAAAAACAGAAAGGGCAAAAAGGAACCGGTAAAACATCGGCCCCGTCGCTTCCGAGGGCCACGAAGCGTTGGACCCGTTCCCCTGAAGACCCGCTCGATGGCGGGGGACCGAATGGTCCTGGTGTCACGACGTGGATCCGAAGATTTATTTCATCAGACAGACGCACGGAAGGAATTGAGGGATGAAAAACGACCCAACCCTGGGTTACAAGCGCATGGTCTGTGAACCTCCTGGGACCCCCCCAAAGCCTAGAGCCGCCAGGACGCGGCACATCACGCAGGGGTTGCCCTGTCAGCCCACAGGAGCTTCAGCGCACAGCGCCTCGTAAACCAGGGCAGGGGCGTTTTTATGCCCTTGAAGGAAGGCACTTCGAATGCGGGCTTCGTCCGACGATGGCGCGCAAGCCCAAACCCCCGACGTCATGACTTTTTCACGACGTCGACCCCCCGAGGTCTCGATCCATTCCCCGGGACCGGTTTTTCGTCCTGAGTCGTTTTTTGACGGTCCCGAGGGCCTGTGAGGGCCCCCACAGGCCAAAAATTAGTGAAAAACCTCCCGTCGTGATTTTTTCATAACTCGAGGGGGTCTGGGAGGCTACCATAGACTCAACGTGGGTGGGCGGGCATGGGCAGCGCCGGCAGCAGGCGTCTCAGAGGGCAGGGGCCCCGGGCGCCAGGGAGTCCCGTCGCAGCCGCCACGGCCGCCGTCTCGGCCACGCCGCCGTAGCCGATGACCTGCGCGCCGGGGGGGAGGAGGAGGAGGAGGAGGAGGGGAGGAGGAGGAGGAGGAGGAGGAGAGGAGGAGAGAGGAGGAGGAGGGGGGAGGGAGGAGGAGAGGAGGGAGGAGGAGGAGGAGGAGGAGAGGAGGAGGAGGAGGAGGAGGAGGAGGAGGAGGAGAAGGAGGAGGAGAGGAGGAGAGGAGGAGGGAGGAGGGAGGGAGGGAGGGAGGGAGGGAGGGAGGGGGGCGGGCGCGCGGCGGCCAGGCCCTGGCTTCTAGGTCGCGGGGCTCCGGCGTCAGCGCAAGGAGCTCGGCGCCTGGGCTCTCCAGCTCCACGGGTCCGGGAACGCTGCGCCGAGGCGTGGGGCCCATCTTGTCCGGCTTGGCGGAAGCCGGCTCTGCACGGCAACCGAGCGGGACCCGTCGCTAACCCTCGCGCCTGAAAGTCCATGTCTGCGCTCTTCCTCGCAGGGAGCTCATCCTCCTCCGCCGTCCCCGCCGCTCTCGCGCCTCCTTCCTCCCAGGCGGGGGGCTCTATATGCAGGACGGGGGAGCGGGGGATCCCGTCCCACCGAGTGGGGGGGGGAGGGGGGGAGGGCGGCGAGAGGGCGGGAAGGCGCAGGGCCTTCGTCGCCAGGCTGGGGAAGCGATGCGGTGGAACCGGCGCGGCGAAGTCGCCCTCTTCCCGCGCCCCAGCCTTTTCCCCAGTCGGTAGGAGGAGAATTGTGCACACACACACACATCCATGCTGGCCAGGCTTAAGTCGGGCCTGTCCCTCTACAGGGGGCATATTCTGGCCCCCAAGAGGCCTCTCAAAGCACCCTTGATGCTTCACGGAAGGCCCTGGGAGGCCCTAAGAGGACCCCAAGATGCCACCACGCGGTTTCCTCTACCTCTTCCTTCTCCCTCTACTCCTCCTCCTCTTCCTCCTCCTTCTCCTCCTCCTCCTCTTCCTCCTCCTCGTCTTCTTTTTCCTCCTCAGTCTTCCCCAAATGTTACTCCAAGGGTGCCGAACATAAAACGGTCTGCTATTTGTCGCGCCAGAGGTTGCGCCGTCCGCTGCCGCACAGAAAGCTGCCTGCTTGTAGTTTCGTCATAGGTCGCGCCGTCGGCTGCCAAAACTAATTCCTTCCGCTAACTGATGTGACCAGTCAGTCAGTCAACGCACCTCGTAAAAGAATGACGTTCGGGCTAAGCCTGAAAATAGCGAGAGAGGTCACTCGGCCCACAATGGAAAACCAGGGGGCGTCGATCGAAGGATGAGTTCAACCACCCAGCTGGGATCCAAACCCAGGCTACGGCCAACGAAGGGCGCCCCAATAGATACACCGAACCCTCCGAGTCGCGAGGGCTCAGCGAGAGGCGACCAGACCTGTTCTTGCTTATACCGGCACACTGCAGGACCTTCTAGCACGCGAGCACCCCAGTCCGACGGAGTCCGATGACACTTGGACGTGAAAGAGGCGAACATCGTGCCTCCTCAGTCCTCCAGCCCCAGACAGCGCACACACGACATCCAGCGTCCTGACAACCAAAGACCGCGTCCGCCCTGAACCCCCCTCACCCGCTCACCAGCAGCACTGCCCTGATCCCTGCCCGCCTCTCCACCCCCCTCAGAGGTAATTCCACCAGCCCTTTAGGGCGTAGGTGGTTTAGAGCGCTTGCTCTTCCAACCCCCTCCTTCCTCCTCGGGGAGGGTATGATCCCTCCTCCTGGCCGCATCCCTTGGGCCATGACGGGGCGCCTCGCGAGCGGTCAGAGCATCCAAGATTGCCCAAGGTGGCTCCAGGAGGGCCCCAGATAGCCCCAGATGGCCTCCAAGATGGATCAAGATATCCCAAGATCTCTCCAGATGGCTTCCAACATGCTCCAAGAGCTCCCAAGACCTTTCCAAGATGGCCTCAAGTAGCCATGGAGCCTCCCACGGAGGCCCAAATTCTTTCAACACATACATGATGATTTTTGCCTTCTCGCCTTTTCGCTTCCGACGGGCGTATGAGGCCTCAAGAGGCTCCACGATGACCCAAGAGGGCCCCAAGAGAGGCCTAAGAGAGCCCCAACATCGCCCAAGAGCGCCCCGAGAGGGCACCAAGAGGCGACTTCAGGGGCTCCAGGAGAGCAATTATGCTAAGGGACACCCCCTCCTATGATCGATATCCTCCAGATGGTGCCAAGAAGGCCTCCGAGGCTCCCAAGAGGCCCTCAAGAAGGCCCCTTGAGAACCCCAAACGCTCGGAGAATGGCTTCAAGAGGGCTCTCCCAAGTCGCTCCAAGATGCACCCCGAGAAACAGCAAGAGGCCCTCAAGGCGCCCCAAGATGCCTCTGAGAGGCCCTCAGGAGGCACCCCACGACACCCAAGGAAGCATCCAAGGGGCCCCTGGCCACACAGGCCCCCGACACCTCCGACTGGTGCCACGCTCTCTCCCGTTCCGGGCAGCTCGCTGCTGGATGGGCTGGCGGGGACACGCGAAACGCCCACAAGGGATCCGTCTTCGCCGTCCGCCGGGGCCCTCCCCGCGAGGCTGGGGCCAGGGGGTCCCGCCGTTCGCCCGCGCCCGGCGCAGCCCCCGGGGCCTGGAGGAGGAGCCCGGCGAAGCCTGCGGGCGCAGCCGCGGGAGCAGCGGGGAGGGGGGAGGGAGGAGGGAGGAGGGAGGAGGGAGGAGGGAGGACCATCGCATGCGAATGAGGAAGGCCAGGGTTAGGCCGACCCGACCCTAACCGAAACCTTGGGATTACATCCGCTCTCCCCTTACGCACTCTTTCGACCCTACGTCGCCGCCCCTTCCTTGAGGAGCTGGGCTGCAGGGAAGGGCTGGGAAAGTCTGGGGCGGGCCTTCATACTGTCCTTAGGATGACGGCCGCCTGAAACCAGAGACCACGCACCTTCTGAGAACTTGCTTCTGAAGCGCTCACTGCATTCACCTTTGAGTCCTTTGAGGTTGCTCTCCGAGTATCGGCCGCACCTCTTGCAAATAATGAGAAAGGACTCGACATCGAGGTAATCGCAAATCATAAGTCGGTGCTTCTTGGGTTCTCTAATTCGCTGGGACAGCGCTACAGAATTGCCAGGGCACGCTTCGCACGAACGGGCCTGGCGGGTGCTGTCGGTGCGGGCACGAGTGTGACACGCTAGGCACAGCCAGTGGTTGTTGATCCAATCCCATAGGTGGCGAGCCAAAACCTGAGGGTTACGGCGGGCCGCACGGGCCCGCCGAGGAAGACCCTCAGGGGGCTGAGGGGGTGGGGTCCAGTCCTTGACCGCACCCGCGGCTCCAACAGGGGGGTTGAGGCTCTGGGGGGGCTTCTCGGGGGGGGGGAGGAGGGAGGAGGGAGGAGGGAGGAGGGAGGAGGAAGGAGGAAGGAGGGGGGAGGGAGGATGGAGGAGGGAAGGAGGCCACAGGAGCGCGCGAGGGCGTCCGGCGCAGACCCGGGCTGGCCCCCCTCGCGGGCAGGAGCTGCCGCGTGGCGTGTCGCGGGGGCGGCCCCGGCGGCAGGCGGCGCCCTGCGAGCTGACAGCGCGTCGCGGCGGCGCGACGCGCGAAGCAGCGGTTCCTGGCCGCACGTGCGGGCCTGGCCACTGCTTGCGGGGTGCTTCGAGCAGGGCAGCATGATGGGATCGTTGGGTTTGAGGGTCGTTGGGCTCGTGGGCTGCTGGCCCAACGTCGCGTCCAGCCAGAGTTCCGAGCTCCATGCGCCCGAGCGACCTTCGGGCGGCCCCCCATCAACGGGCCGATCGGGCGGGCCCCGCAGGAGCTGCGAGTAAGGAAACGAGCCCAGCGCTTCTTGACGTGTGCGCGTCGTGCCTGCGCAGGCGCTGCGCAACTCGTCTCTGTGCCTTCCAAACTCCATCTTAGGGTCCCAATCGCTGACGGTCAGTGCGGTGACCTTGAAATCCCGAAAGATCTCATCGCACGGTCAGTCACCTCAATATTATCAGGGACCCTGGAGGCCCCAGCCGCCCAAGACATCCCCAGAGAATGACCCAAGCCCCAAAACAGTGCGGTCACCCAGAACCCCTGACTCCTCACCATACGGTGTGGTCACATGTGGTCACCGCATCATCTGGAAGCCCGAACACATCGACGAATACAAGAGCCCGTTTTTTATATATGTTCACGGCTCTATGTTCACGCGCTCGTTTTTCCGTTTTCAGTCACTCGGCCTCTAGGTTCGTTCACTCGGCTTCTAGCTTCATCGACCAACGGGGGGTCCACGGGTGGAGCCTGGGGCCTCACGGGGGAACGGGCGAGGCGGGCGCCCTCTGCCCGAAGCCCCGCAGCGCCGCGCCACCGGCCGCTCACCGTGCAGCTCGACCGATGACGTGCCCAGGCCTGGCACCGCTGGCACCGCCGACGTACTACAAAGACACGGCCGCATTAAGATCCACGTTTGCTCATGAAACCATGGCGCCTCTGTCACCGAACAACGCCTGCGGAGACGCATGGGCTAGTCGGCATACCACCGCTGCACCAACCACCACCTCTGGGCCCTCGCCGCCAACCGCGACAGCCCGCTCTTAAGCTATGAGCCACAACGAGGGCTCGCAGCGAAGTGGGCCCACGCATCGACGGCCTGAACAACACGCAGCCCAACCTGGGGGACCAAACAGATGGAAATGATCAAGGCACCACACGAGCACCAGCTCTGGCGAGTCCCACTGCAGCAGGGGGACTGCGACGAGACCCAGAGCGATGCCAACCGACGTGGCACGCAGCACCTCGGCCAGGAAGCCGACCTCAGCAAGAGCAGGGCCAACCTTGTGGATGCCACGACAATGGACACCCTAACAGACCTATCATCGAATTAAACATGTATTTAAAATGTCGGAAAATGTAATGAAAATGTTTTTTTTTGTTTTTTTTAATATGTTTTTTACATGTTCAAAACAGTTTTAACACATTCTCTAGACATCTGGAAATTGTTTGGCGACATGCTTCATCTCCATTGATCGTCCTCCACAAGGCCAGCCTGGACCTCTGCCCCGTGATCACTTACGGAGACGGCCACATAAGACATACGGCTCTACCGCTGCTGCCACCGATCAACAAGACTACCAGCGAAAATACAACGCTTCACCGACGGTGCCATGAAACGGCTCGACGAGCGGTTCGAGACAAACGGAACCGCCACCGACAGTGGGAAACACCATCACCAACGTTGCGATGATCACTACACCAACTGATACTGGAACCGAAATCGCAACGCCACAACATTCGAAGCGACCAGCGCACATTCGAAGCACAACCGGCACGCGATCGCCGATTTCACCATTAAATCGGAGATCTATAATGACAGCCCATCAAACGCGACAGCAAGCTTAAGAAGGCGCACATGCACACCATGATCACCCGTCAAAATGGCATCACAATCGCCCCCCGCCCGCTCCGTCTCCGTTTCCAGGCTGGGCATCCTCACTCTGATCCGCCATTGAGGAGTTGAGGTATGGACCTGCATGCGCTAATAGAGAAATGAGTAACAGCATGAACATAATTTGTCGGAGGTCCGCTTGGATTTCTTGGATTGGCGCTGGTCCCCTCTCCCTGGCGCGCGGGGCGCGACAGGGGCGGCTCCGGAGGCGCCGCCAGGTGGGCCCAGCGCCGATCCAAGAAACCCGCGCGGACCTAAGAGCAAGCATGGCGTTCTTTATCAGAGAATGGATGGGTTCGGCTTGTGTTCGGGATTCGGTTTCCTGCTACGTTTGGGGCCAAGGGGGCCAGGCGGACAGCGACGACGACGACGACGACGAGGGCGACGAAGACGAGGGGGAGGAGGAAGAAGACGACGACGAGAGGCGTAGAAGGCCAGCACCCCAATCCGTCCTATCGGCCCAGGCCAAGAGCAAGGGGAAAAGGAAGAGACGCATCGGAGTCACGTTGGAGCCATGTTGACACAATCTTGGGGTCAATTAGGGTCGAAAGGGATCATCTTGGGGCAATCTCGAAGTCGTCTCGGACTCATGGCTTCGTTCTGAGGTCACCTCGGAGTCAAATTGGGGTCACGCGGTAGGCTTGTCGGAAGACAATGGGTTCGTCTCGGTGTTCTCTTGGGGCCGCAGGGTTGCTCTGGGGTCATATTGGGGCCATTGCTTAGCAGGGGTGGGCATCTTGGGGCGGCAAGGGTAATCTTGTGATCCTTTCAAAACCCTTTTGGGTCCATCTTGGAATCGTCTTTCCGCTGCTGCCTCCCAAGTTGTTGTTGCTACAGACGTTGCTGTTGCTGCTGGCGTTGATGCTGCTGGTGCTGCCTGGGCTGCCCGTGGTGCTGGTGCTGGTGCTTTGAGAAATTGCGGGCCCTCTTGGAGCTAGCTTGGTGCCCTCGCGGGGCCCTCATGGGCCTCTTGGGGCCCTTGGGGGGCCTTCTGAGGGCCCTTTAGATGCCTCCGAGAGGGGAAAGAATTCATCGCACGCTTAACACAAACCACCTCGTTATTGGAGAGCGTCTTGTATTAAATTGGTGTTAGAGGTTTTGGCCCTCTTGGAGCCGTCTTGTGGCCCTCTTGGGGTCCTCCTGGGCCCTTTTGGGTCCCTGCGGGAGCCCTCTGAGGGCCCTAAGAGGCCTCAGGAGGGCCAATCATTCAACACAAATTTAAGACAACCCGCCTCCTTATTGGAGAGCGTCTTGTGTTAAATGTATGTTCCCCAATCAGAGCTTGCCTCTGTAGGGGGTCCTAGCGGATTCATATGTGCAGGTGACCTACGTCGCCGATTTCGGTGGCCGGGCCCGGGTGCCCGGGCGCTCGGGGGTGCCCGGGGGTGCCTGGAGTGCCTGGGGGTGCCCGGGTGCCCAAGTGCCCGGGTGTCCAGGGGTGCCCTGGTGCCCGGGGGTGCCTGGCGTGCCTGGGTGCCCAGGTGCCCGGCTGCCCGGTAGCCCTATAGCCCTATAACCCTATAGCCCAATATCCCTATATCCCTATAGCCCTGTAGCCCTATAGCCCTATAGCCCTAATAACCCTGAAGCCCAATAGCCCAATGACCCAATAGCCCTATAGCCCTATAGCCTTATCGCCATATAGCCCTATAACCCTAATTAGCCCTTTGGCCCTAGAACCTTATAGTCCTATAGCCTTAGAGCCCTATAGCCCAATAGCCCTATAAACTTATAGCCCAACAGCCCTATAGCCATATCGCTGTAAAGACCAGGAGCCCCGTAGCCCTGAAACAAATCTGATAGGGTTTTTATCCGATATCATTTAATGTCGAGCCCTCTGAAGAAAACCCCAAGAAGGCCCAAGAGAGACCCAAGAAGGCCCCAAGAGAGACTTTAGTTTAGCTTCCACGTGGGGGGGTCCACCATGTATCCGCTGTTTGTACAAATGTTTCCTCTTGCAGGACTCGGCTTGAGGTTTGGAGGGCCTTCAGGAAGGTTCTAACCTGAGGTATTCAAAGACTTCGCGTGAACTTCGAGTGCGATTGCGCTGCTCCGAGACGGCCCCAGAGCGCTCCAAGATGCTCACAATGGCTTCAAGACGACCAAAGAAACCCTGCAGACACCCCCGGGGGGGCTCCAAGACGACCACCTCGCGGGCTCCACGAGGGCAGAACCATAGTTTTTCTTCTCGTTGTCTGAAAGATTTTAGCGTTCTCGCTTTTTCTAAGTG